CTGGGCAACGGGGAGGCTGACGCGGACAGTCCAGTCACTTCTCACGCCTGGGTCTGAGAGCTGGGACTCGGGCCAGCCTGGCTTCCTCCATCTGAACCCTAAGTGGGCTTCTGTCCCTTCTGTGGTGACGACTCAAGGACCAGAGGTGTTTCCAGTCCCTCTGTCCCTCCGTCTCCCCAGGTCAGCAGACCTGAGCTGGAGTAGCGCGTCCCGTCCCGGGGAGGGACAGGGCTGTGCCTTCAAAGTCAACCAAGCTCTGGGGGCAGATTGAGCTGGGTCATCCACTGACCCCGGGTCACCTGGGGGAGGACAGGCTCAGGGACAGATACTGGACTCGCTGTTGTCGTGGTTTGGACATGAGGACCCCCCTCCAAAGTTCCTGTGTGAGACGGTGCGAGAGGTGAAAGGTCATGAAGCTGTGACCCACTCGGTGGATTGACCCGCTGAAGGGTCAGCCAGGCGGGGACTGCAGGGGGGGAGTGTGTGGCGGAGGAAGTCGGTCCCCAGGTGCCTTCGGGTTTATATTCGGTCTCTGGTGCGTGGAGCCCTCTTTCCCTCCTGAGCTGCGTCCCCGTACCAGGCCCCCTGCCATGACGGTGTCCATCACCTTGGGCCCAGAGCTACGGAACTGGCCGGCCACGGTCTGAACCTCGAAATGGGGTCTTTGCAGAGCTGACCAAGGTCACATGACGTCACGGGGGTGGACCCTCATCCCAAACCACTGGGATACAGGTAAAGGGGGTTGATCCACTGTTTATGGGTGTGTCGTCCCCACAGGTGCCAATGAGGGCCACTTGCCATGTTCCTTAATGTCTGTGACCTGAGCAGCCCGGCCTCTCCCCCCCCAGCCCCCACCCCATGATAAAAGGGGGAATTTGGACCCAAAGACAGACTTCCACGGAGGAGGAAGACGTGGGGACACCAGGAGAAGACGGCCCCGTGCTGGGGGTGACACTCTGCCAGGGAGGTGGCGCCCTGGTGACCAGCCCCTGCCAGGAGCTGGGAGAGGCCGAGAGGGACCCGCCCAGACCCTCAGGCAAAGCCCAGCCCTGGGGACGTCCAGCTGAGAGTCGGCCTTATGGACTGTGCGGGGCTGGATTTCAGGCCCAGGGATTGGGGGGGGGGGGTTTTCCTGGGGTAAAGCACACGACATAAGTGTGACCTTTCACCACGTTTCCAGGGACAGCTCCATGACATCGGACCACATCACGGCCAGCGTCACCACAGCCTGCTCTCTGGGCCTGTGAATCACTGATCCCCCCCCACACTTCTCTGTCCCAGCCCAGGGCCACCGCCATTCCAGATTCTGTCACCATTCCCGTGTCCACTGAGCTGTGTCCTGGAAGGGGGGTCCATGGGATCCGTCCTCTCACGACTGTCTTCCCGCTTCAGCTCCCCCGCATCTTCAGACGTCCTTCCTTCCCAGAGCTCCTGGTGTCCCACTCCACGAGCCCCGACAACCGCCATGCCCCCAGATGCAGCTGCTGGCCCTGGGCTCACTCTGCCTTGAACTTTGTATTGTTCCTGGGGATTGAACTCGGGGCCTCAACCATAGAGCCCGTCCCCAGCCCTATTCTGTGTTCTGTTTAGAGACAGGGTCTCACTGAGCTGCTTAGGGCCTCACTGTGGCTGAGGCTGGCTTTGAACTCGGGATCCTCCTGCCTCAGCCTCCTGAGCTATGGGATTGAAGTGGCGCCTCCTTTATCCACAGAAAAGCCCTCTTCACCATGGCTGATTTTAGGACTGTCAGTAAAAAAGTCTCTGAGAAAGGGCCCAATGTAGATAAACTTCCTATTTTCATGTCGCCCTGTTTACCTGGCCACTGGCCGAGAAGATAGCAGCACTCCAGGTGCTGGACACCCCCTTACTAGTTTTTCACAAACATATCCAGTATAGTACTTTGTAGAAATGAGCAAACAAGGCCTCTGTCCTTGAGCTGGGCTTCCCAGAGATGTCTACATTTTTAAGATAAGTGACCAATTGGGCTCCATGGTAACAGCTGGTGAGGCGGGAGGAAAGAAAGGGGAGAAGGAGCTCTCCCCTTCTCAGGTGCTGTCCTCGAGGGGTTAACTTGCCCAGAACAGTGAAAGAAAAAGCTGCTTTTATGTGAACTTCTGCGGACTGTGATCTTCTGAGCCCCTCCCCTTACATGCTGGGTATAAAACTCTAAAACTCCCTGAACTCGGGGTTCAGGGGATTGGTTGATTACAGCAAAAGCTGTGCCCTCTGAGCCTGGCTGCAGCCAAATAAAACTGTTTCCTGCTATCTTGGGTGCCTTGCCTTGCCTGTCCCCTACAACACTGGGTGACAGGCGTGTGCCACTGCACCCGGCTCTCAGTATGTTGCCCAGAGTGTCCCCAGACTCCTGGGTTCAAGCCACACTCCTCCTCAGCCTCTCATTAGCTGGGATGGCAGGCGTGGGCCACCGTGCCCGGCTGATCTCACTATTTGAGGAGGGGCCACGCTGTTTCCCATACCGGCTGCTTCATTTTATATCCAAAATTCTGCTGTTTACCTAACCTCCCGTTTACACAAGCACCTACTACGTGCCAGGCACCGGGCTCCTGGACGCCATGGAAAACCAGGCAGATGACATCCTGCCTCCCTGTATCTGCTGATGGGAAAGACGGTGGTGGATGGGGACAGGCGGGAGTCCCCAGCAGCGGGGACCCTGTGTGCAGTGCCTGGGAGGCAGCAGGAGCAGGAGCCTCTCCTGGACCTACCTCCCAACCTCCAGGGCTGTCTCTTCCCCCTGCCTGACCTTGGATTCAAGGTCAAGACAGGACCTGGGCTGCAGGAAAGGACCTCAAGGGACCTGAGGTGCCCCGGCAGTGACTTGGCCAGAAGTAAAGACCCGAGAGGCTTCTCCAGAGCTCCCCTCTTCAGGACATCCCTGGCCTCTGCCAGGGGGTGAAGCTCACTGTCCCCAGCTGCCCCCTGGACCCCGCAGGACCAGCCCCTGTCCACCGGGGCCCTGCCCATCACAGGCCATGGTGGGGCTGAACCTCTCTGCCCCCAGGGCGTCTTGGGACGCGTGGCCCTTCCTGCTTGGAGCTCGATGGACCCTGTTCCTCAGGGGACCTCCTCCCTGTCACCAGGGCTCTGCTTCTTCCTGGGAGCCTTCCTGATGGCCCGGGCCGGGTACATCTCCTCTGTGACACTGACCCCTGGAACAGAGCTTGGCACCAATTAGACGCCCAGCGACTATTTTTGTTGAATGGCTGGGTGGACGGGTGGGTGGGCAGAGGGCTGCTGCCCGGGTGCCGTCTCTGTCTGGTGACCCTCCTCTCCTTGTTTTCCACGGGGCCACGGAGGTCACCTGTGCCTTTCAAGCCCCAGGGCCCGATGACCGCGCCCGTGAACCTGGCATGGCCCCGTCCTGGCAGCCGGAGGGCTGATGCATGCAAAGCGGGCATCTCCTTGCCCAGCGCCTGACCACCCTGGCGCGGCCGAATCTGACAGCTAATGACATTATTGTGTGGAGACACAATGTCTGCCGCATCTGCTGACCGGGGCTTTGGTGTGGGCTTAACCCCGCATTCTTCCCCTGCTTTCCCGCGGGGACCCTGCGGTGCCCGTCTTGGCACCGTCCCTCCTGGGGAAAGTATAAATGCCACCTGCTGCCGCAGGCTCCACGGGCACTCGCGGGGGCTGCCGGTGTCGCTGGTAAGAGGGACGCGCCTGCTCCCCAGCCTTTCCTCTTAGCCGGGGTCGGGAGCCGGGTGACGGGTGAATCCAGACGCCTCCTGACCAGGTGCCCTCAGCCCCATGTTCTTTCTCGCTCAGTGGGGACAGGGGTCACGCCCCGGGGTCCAGGGCTAACAGTGGAGGGTCTAGCCGCTCCCCGGCGTGTCCTCGGCTGTTGGTGACGTTGGTCACTAATATGAAACAGCCCGTCGGCACCTCGGCTTTGCCAGGAACCTGGCAGGAAAATGTAACGGGTTTGCAAACCGGTGCCGGTGGGTACCCCTCAGTGATGCCCGGGGAGACGGCTCGCCCAGACCCACGGCCAGCTGCCGCCACCCCCTGTGTCCAGCCTTGGGCAGTGTTAGTGGCTAGGTCACCAAAGGTGATCTTGGTGCCACCACCGCTGGGTGGAAATGATCCCTTCTGTCACCTCCTCCTGGGTGCAGAGTGGGTCCTGGGTGGCTGCCAAGGGCTTGCGCCGCCTGTGCTCGGTGCCATGGAACCCTGATGTTGTCGGGCACCTCGGCGGTCCCCATTTTACAGAGCAGGAAACTGAGGCCCCGAGGCACTGAGGCCCCAGGGACAGTGACCATCCCGGGGTCCCCGAGCGGCAGAACCGCTTGCTCAGTGGGACCCCGGCTGCCCCGGCTGCCCTCTGAGAACACTGAGGACCCAGGGGCACCCGTGGGACTCGGGCCGGGGAGGGGGGGTGGCAGATCCTCCTCCTGAGCCATTGGATGGGTGTCCTCCCCTGAAGGCCGTCCAGCCAGGGGAGGATGAAGGACGGTCCCCAGGCGACCTGAGCCCAGCACCCCTCCCTAAGGAAGGGAGAGAGGGACGATGTCATGTCCTGGGCTGTCCTGTGTCCTGTGATGCGCGTCTCCTGCTCACACTGTGGGGACAAGATCAATGGCCTGGGGACGTCCTGAGTGCTGGGAGCCGGGGACCAAGGGGCAGGGATGGGGGACCTCGCTGAGTCCCAGGGTGGCCAAGCACGGTGGGGGGGGGGCGAGGGTCTGGTTTTGCGTGGAGGTGGCGGTGACAGCCGAGCCTCCCACCGTGGGGACCCACCGGAGCTGTGCCCTGCCCTCCAGGGGCCTCACCTCGGGTCCCAGTGTGTCCCCAGGGAGCCTCCCCTCCCACAGCACCCCGAGCCGGACACAAAGAAGTCAGGCTGGCGGTGGGGCCTGAGCTGCCGCCCGGGACACCCCAAGACCCCTGCGGGTCCCCAGGAGGAGGAAGCCAGGGCCCGTGACGTCCTCACGGTGGTTTCCCCGTGTCTTCCAGGTCATTCCTGCGCGGGACAGTCCACGATGGCTTCAGACCACCAGACCCAGGCGGGCAAGCCGCAGCCCCTCAACCCCAAGGTGGGTGCCAGATCGGGGGGAGGGGCAGACCACCCTCCCCCCTCCCCTCCCCCGTCTCCACCGACTCCGAGGCCCGTCCCAGCACAGGGCACGCAGGCCTTGATGCAGCTGTGCAGGCTGACACCTCCACTTCTCGGCTGGTGTGCATCCTACTTTGCACCAAGCCTGGGGTGGACCTCCGCCCATCAGAGAAGCAGCTCTTGGTTGAGAGGTGAGGGGTGGCTTCCAGCTCCACGCCTGCTGTGTGACCCAGGCCAGTTGCTCGACTTCTCTGAGTCTCAGTTCCCTCTAAAATGGGAAGAGCAGCCAGGCTCAGCCTAACTCCTGGCCCACGGTGCCCGCGAAGACCTCAGCTTCACTCTCGTGGGGTCTTATTCCAGTGGCAGAGGCTCGCCCCACCCCCCAGCCTCACACTCTATCAACCTCCACCCTCTGGCCTCTCCCGGGTGTCCTTCTGCTCTAGGAGTCCTGGCGCGGAGTCCATGCAAAACTGCCCCCCCGACAGCCTCCTGCTCATTCGTCCCCTTCCAAGCTGCACTTTCTAGAGGAAAGACAGACCCTAAGCAAGCAGCTGGATACACACCTGGAGTAATGATAACTGTGCAGTAAACCACAGAGCAGGGTGCAGGGTCCCTGAGAGCCAGGGAGGACGGGGAATGGCCGCGTCCTCAGAGGAGCTCAGGGAAGGCCTTTCTGAGAAGGTGACCTTTGAGCAGAACCCTGGGTCAAGCGAGGAGCTGGAGTCAGCCAGAGCACCCAGGCAATGAGGACAGCATATGCAAAGGCCCTGAGGTCACGAATGAGCTGGGTGAGTCTGGCAAACAGCAGAAGGTTGGACTTAAAGCGTCCCCCGTCCAACTGATGTGCACTGTGAGCCGCCCAGGTAACAAAAATGTTCTAGTCGCCACACTTACAAAGGTGAAAACTCATATTCATCTTAAACCTAATGTATAAGAAAATGAGCATTTTAGTGAATAATCAAGAGAAGACTCATTAGGGAGGTATTTTAGGTTCTTTGTTCCCCATTCAAAATCAAGTATTTTATACTTAGAGCACTATCCTCACTCAGACGCAGTGCAGATGTGGAGCTGATGGTTGTTCCATTCAGCAGGACAGCTTTAAAGAATCAGATACCGTGGGACATTTTAGCCTCCATTTTATTTATGAACAGCAACAGTGAACAGTGATACGGGTGGACTGGGCTCTCTGAGGCCTTCCTCACCGACCCTCCTTCCCAAGTGGCTGCTCTCGGGCCAGGTCATGAGAAACCAGCCCCTGACTTCCACCTTCTTGATCCTTCCCAGCACCCGTACAAAACAGGCCTGACCTCCCGTTTCACAGACAAGACAACTGAGGCCCAGAGACATCCGGTCGCTCCCTAGGTTTGCACAGCACAACCCATGTCTCCTGCCCCCGGGGTCTAGCTGGGTCAGTGACTCTAAAGGCTGAATTGATCCCGTGGAATTTGTCTCTGAGCCCTGTTGGCCACCCCCTTCGCTTCCTTTATCTGGCTAATCCCCTGCCTGGGAGCGGGAGGCCTGTGTCCCCTGCCAGTGCTGACCTTGTGGATTCTGGGCTGGGAGCTGCCCCCCCCCCTGTCCAGAGGCAGCGCCGGGGAATGGTGGCTGGAGCGCACGGTTCCCAAGCTCTCGCTGAGGTGGCCTCCCAGTTGGCGCTCCGTGGGGCCCGGGGGTCTGGTACTTTGCAGAGCTTCGGCTTCTCTGATGGGGACCCCGCGAGACCCCTTCCCAGGGCGAGGAGAGGACCAGGTGAGGCGAGGGGCACGAAGTCCCCTGCAGAAGTCTCCCAAGGGGAGGTCGGGCCCGGGGAGGCCCCTGAGGCCCCGGCTCCAAGGAGGGGCCCAGGAAGGCGTGGTCCCTGTGGTTTCCATGGAGACCAGGGACATGGGATGGTGCTGGTCCAGCTCCGGAGTGGGGAGGAGTCACTAAGCGCTGGCCTGTCTGGGACCGTCCCCAGGGCTCAGGGTCCCAGGGGCCTGGTGTGCGGGGTAGATTTGCAAGATGCTGCTTCCCTTCCAGCTGCCTGGGCGCCCGGTCAGCTCTGCCCACGGGGGCTCGGGGCTGCGCCTCGGTTCCCACGACCGTGAAGGGCCGGGGGGCGCCCGCCCCGCTCTCCAGAGGCCCTGGATTCGTCCCCAGTACTGCACACAGGGAGGGCAGCACGGCTGTCCCCTCCGATGCCCACCGACGCGGGCTGGCCGTGTGCACCCCGAGGGCAGTTCTGCGTCCCCTTATACAGAAGGCAGATGAGGCCCCGAGGAGCCAGGCGGCTCTGGGTCTCCTGGCCCTGGGGTCGGCCCTCCAGCCTCCTCGGAGGCTCTGACCCGACTCTTGCCGCTGCAGATCATCATCTTTGAGCAGGAGAACTTCCAGGGCCACTCCCACGAGCTCAGCGGACCCTGCCCCAACCTGAAGGAGACGGGCGTGGAGAAGGCGGGCTCTGTCCTGGTGCAGGCTGGACCGTACGTATCCGCGTGGCCTCGCCCGGCCAGGGGCTGCCAGGGTGAAGCAATCGGGCTGTGGGGTTGGGGGTCTGTCCTCTCCGTGCCCCTAAGATGCGGGGTCTGGCAGCCCAGCGGGAGAACTTGTGCTTTGGAGCTGAGTTCAAATCCCGATTCCACCACCTCTGGGCTGTGTGACCTCCGACCAGGAGTTTCCCTCTCTGAGCGTCCGTTTCTTCCTGTGCAGGACGAGGGTGACCCTGTCCTCCTGAGGATGGGAGGAGAGCTCAGCACAGGGCTGGGCACAGATGACAGCCACCTCTTCAAGGCAGGGACACAGAACTTTTAAGAGCTGCCGATTTGCTGGCATATTTGGGGGCCACATCTTTACTTGAGAAAGAGGGGGGGATTGGCAGATGGACTGTCCCCTTGTCGTGTAGGTGAGCACAGTCCTGTGTGAGCCGGCAGGTGGCACGGGTCTCTCCCATGGCTCCTGGCCACTCCCTCTCTGTAAGAGCCTCAGGATTCGGGGGTCAGCAGTGACCCCCATCCAACAGGTTGGAGTCTGGAATGGCCGGGTGTCCTGCGGAGACCACCCCACACTTCAGGATGCTTGGGGAATTTTGCTGGTGCCATGGCCCTGCCTGTGTCTACGTCTGAAGACGTGGAGAAGGTGGCCCATGCAACAGCCCTGCCGAGCCTCCGTTATCTGGCACACGCAGGGAATCTGTTGCACACCTTCCAGATAACTGAAGTCCAGGCCACTGGAACTCCACGTGGGATTTTCAATTACCTTTTAATATATATAATCACACACCAGGGGTTGAACCCAGGGCACCCGACCACTGAGCCCCATTCCCCAGCCCTATTTTGAATTTTATTTAGAGACAGGGTCTCACTGAGTTGCTTAGGGCCTTGCTTTTGCTGAGGCTGGCTTTGAACTCGTGATCCTCCTGCCTCAGCCTCCTGAGCCACTGGGATAGTCTTTTAACATTTTGATGATAGAATTTCCCGAGCATATTTTAACCAAGGTTTTTGAGTTTGGTGGGTGGATAGTTTTGGCAGTGCTGGAGATGATACCCAGGGTTTTAAGACACTAGGCAAACACTCTTCCACTGAGTGCTGCCCCCAGCCCTGCCAAACTATTTTACACTTTTAATTCAAAAATATAGATGTATACATTTTGAGTTTTAAAATTTGTTTATTGTTTAAAGTGCTATTGCTTTAAATTAAGAATATAGGGGCTGGGCGTGTGGCTTGGTGATAGAGAACTTGCCAGGCACACAACCCCAGCAGCACCAAAAAAAAAATAAATAAATAAGAACAGTGTTTAGATTAAAAGAAGAAGGAGGAGGAGGAGGAGAGGAAGAAGGAAAAGAAGGAAGGAAGGAAGGAAGGAAGGAAGGAAGATAGTTTTAGCCCGACCACTCAGAAGTAACCATTGTTGAGATTTGGGTCTAGCTGGGCGCGGTGGCCCACACCTGTCATCCTGGCTGCTCGGGAGGCTGAGGCAGGAGGATCTTGGGTTCAAGGCCACCCTCAGCTACCTAGCAAGGCCCCAAGCCACTCAGTGAGACCCTGTCTCTAAATAAAATTTTAAAAATAGGGCTGGGGATGGGGCTCAGGGGTCGAGGGCCCCCGAGTTCAGTCCCTGGGACCCCCCCTCCCTGAAAAAAAGATTGGGGTCTAAATCTAGATTTTTCTCTGCGTTATATTTAATGGTTTTTGAAAGAATCAGAATGGCACCGTGATGTACTTAGAGTTTTGTAGCCCACAAGGTTATAAGGTAGCGGGGACTCATCTGGGTCACGGAGGGCGTTCTGTGCAGTGTCCTGTGGCCATTCCTCTGGGCCACTTCCACAGCAGACTCTTGGCCCCCCAGCCAGCCCGCTGATACCTGGTGGAGACCGGGGACCTGCTTCCCGCCACCACGTGGCCCAGCTGAGGTGAAGACTGGGGTCCTACGGCGTGACTCTCGTGGCTTTACCATCCCGTGGTTGGATGGGCCACGTGGATGTCACCGGCCCTGGTGTCACATGCGGGAAGTCGTCTTCTGTTCTTGTGACGGGGTCCTCGGGTGACAGCTGTGAGCTCTTGGCTGCCACTTTCTGGGTCCCCTGCCCACGCAGATGGCTGGTCTCTCCAGGGACACTGAGCACAACCTCCTGTTCCCAAGGCCACTGTGGCGCCTGAGGCAGGGTTTGCCGGCACTGGGTGGCCCCAGAGTGCTCCCTGCCCGAGGCGGGCCCTCTCCCATCCGCCCCCCCAGAGAGGCTCCTTCCCCTTAACGCCCCTCGTCCCTCGTGGCCACTCGGCACCTCCCTCCTCCTCCCCCCTCCCTCCAGAGAACAGTGAGATGGCCATTTGCAAAGCCTCAGCAGGTGACAGGGACAAGCCACCTGGAGGGGATGTCAGGTCCCCAGGAGCAGCAGGTGGCTCACACGCCTTTTTAAGGAAGGGCCTTGAGCACCCGCGGGTCTGGGCACCTGGGGGGAGCTGGCGTCCGCAGGCCCAGGAGGACGGATCTCAGAGACCCTGTGTCCAGGAAGAGCAAGAGACTCACAAGGACAAAAGAGTCCCTGTTGCTCCCAGGGGGAGGCCCAGGGTGGCCCCGAGAGGGAGCTCAGTGGAGAAGGCGGAGGGTGCTCCTCTCCTCCCGGCGCCCCCCGCGGTGACATTGCAGGGACAGCTGCAAACCCGCTGTGGTGGCCTTATTGAGGCCACCCGTCGGCTGTTGGTTTCGTTTGCTTGGACAGTAGCTCTGAGCCTTGGAGCACCCGGTGGCCCCGGCATTTGGTGTGGGGGGTCCCTTGGACCTGCTTCGTCTGTCACTGTGTCCCTGGCTGAAGGCGCGTGGCCTGGAGCTGGGCAGCCCAGGTGGCCGCGCTGCTGCGTCTCTTTGCCCTTGGTCAGGGCAGCTGCCGGGGGCGGGCCCAGGGGCGGGTCCTGCGCGGGGCGCTGGGCTGGACTGACTGTCCCCTCTGTCTCTGCGGCAGCTGGGTGGGCTACGAGCAGGCCAACTGCAAGGGCGAGCAGTTCGTGTTCGAGAAGGGCGAGTACCCCCGATGGGACTCCTGGACCAGCAGCCGCAGGACAGACTCCCTCAGCTCCCTGAGGCCCATCAAAGTGGTGAGTGCCCTGCCCCGTCACTCGTCCCCTGGGCCACGTGGAGCCACAGGTGCAGGGATCGGGAGGAGCCTTTGCTGTTGGCTCTGCATCCCATCTGACTGGCAGGGAAGCACCTGGCTCTGTGACCTTGCAAAGTCCTTCCCCCTCCCTGAGCCTCGGGCTCCTCCTCTGTCCCTGGGGCTCTTAGTATCTGTGGTCCTCAGATTCCCAGGAGCTCAGCCCCAGGGCTGTCACATTCTGTAACCACAAGGTGACAGAATGCTCCAGGGGACACTGCTCACGTTCTATCCTAGGTCTCTATCCTAGGTCGATAGTGCTCCTAGAGTTGCCCAATCCTGTTACTAAGTAATTGCTCAACAAATGGTCACCATCTTGAATTTAAAAGAAATTCTGTGCTGAGGGGAGAAAAAGGCGGTTCAGCTCTTAATCAGGACTCGTGCCTGTGAGAGCTGTCTGTTCTTCTCTGAGCCTGGTTCTCACTAGTGAATAAACTCTTGGGGAGGGGTAAGGACCTACCACTGCTCAAGCACTCAACTCCCCAAACTTCCAAGCCCGGACTGTGTCCTCCCACAGTGTGGTGGAAGATTGGAAGAAGATTGGACTTGGCCTTCTACAGACCTGGGGTCATATGTTGGCTCTCCTCTTCCCACCTGTGTGACCCCGGGCAAGTCACTTGACCTCTCTGTGCCTCAGTCTTCTCATCTGCCAAGTGTCATAAGACTTGCCTAATGGATTCAGCGAGACAACTAAGAAAAACGCAGCAGCAGGGGGAGGGGAAGAGACAGGAGGGGGGCTGTGCTGTGCCTGGGGGGTGAATAAGACAGGGCTGCACTTTAAGAATGAGAAAGTCTAGTTTGTGGGAGGGAAAACCACCGTTTCAGAATCAAATATTCCCCCAAGTGTGACGTCCGGGAGCCCACGGCTCAGGAGGGACTCTACAGACTCACAGTCCACTGGCCTTGTCACAGACTGTCACTGGGTGGGTCTATGGAGCAGAGGGTCTGAGTGCAGCATGCTGGGATGTGGGGTCGGGGAGGGCTGCTCCCCCACACTGGCTTTCCCTGCCCCGGCCACAGGACAGCCAGGAGCACAAGATCATCCTCTACGAGAACCCCAACTTCACGGGGAAGAAGATGGAGATCATAGATGACGACGTGCCCAGCTTCCACGCCCACGGCTACCAGGAGAAGGTGTCCTCGGTGCGGGTGCAGAGCGGCACGTGAGTGCAGCCCCAGCCCCCTCGCCCCCGGGCACCGACTCGGGGGGCCCCCAGTCTTGGAGACCAGCCTGGGGGACGTTGCAGGACCCTGTCTCCAAGGAACAAGGGCTGGGGTGTGGCTGGGCGGCGGGCGCCCCCTGGGAGCGATCCCCGGTACTGCAGCAACCAATGGATTGATTCATGGGGGGTGTGGGCGGGCTCTATGCAAATAATAGGAGGGCTCCCCCCACCCCTCCCCCCGCCTGGCCTTAGACAGCCTGTTTGGCGACACCTACTGGCTTCTTGGGGTTCTTCAAGTCCCCTAAATACTGTGCAAAGTCCCTGGCTCCTGCACACATGGATTCCCACGTCCACTCTGTCCTGGGCTCCCACGGGCAGCGTCAGGAGGAGGCCTGGCAGCTGCCCCGTGCAGGTGACCTTCCAGGAGGGGCTGGTTTGAGGTGCCCCACAAACCTCAGCTTCTCCCTCGAGGGAGAGTCTCGAGGCCTCAAGGCAGAGCAGGGCTGCAGGGCCCAGGGGGAGAGGAAGCTCCCCGCAGAGACCCGCGTGCGCACAGCCTGCGGAGCCTTCCAGGGAGTTCTTGATCCGTGAAGGCCCTGGTGGCCTCAGTGCAGGGACACAGGGGCACGAGGAGGATGGGGGGAGCTGGAGGTGTCCACAGAGACTGGCTGGGCAGGTCCTTGTGGGCCAGGGCTCTGCCATGTCCCCTGAGGACAAGATTGTCATTTGCATTAGGTGCTTAAAAGAGTCAGTGACCCCTGAATGGCAAAGGCCCTGAGCAGTGGGTGGACTGTGGGGGCCCCTGGGGGGCCTGACCTAGTCAAATCTTCGGGGAGCTTATGACCCTCCTTGCTCTGACCCTGTGTCAGGCCTTCGCTAAAACTCATATTGGGAGGGAGTGAGCTGCCCTTGGAGAGCAGGAAGTGGGCCGGGCGCGGTGGTGCTCACCTGTCATTCCCAAGGCTCGGGAGGCTGAGGAAGGAGGATTGAGTTCAAAGCCAGCCTCAGCCACGGCGAGGCCCTAAGCAACTCAGTGAGACCCTGTCTCTAAATAAAACGCAAAACAGGGCTGGGGATGGGGCTCAGGGGTCGAGGGCCCTGAGTTCAATCCCTGGTACCCGTCACCCCCCCCCCCGCCCCCCAAAGAAAGAAAAAAGCAGGAAGGAAGCAGAAGCGCCCGGAGGCGGGGGACGGGACGACTGGGGGGGGGGGGGAGAGTGCCGAGTCCTGCCAATTCCGGGAAGGCAGGCGCCCTCTCCTGGGGGCTGAAGGACGTGCCTCTCTCTTTCTCTCCCTCCTCGGGCCCTGCAGGTGGGTGGGCTACCAGTACCCCGGCTACCGCGGGCTGCAGTACCTGCTAGAGAAGGGCGACTACAAGGACAGCAGCGACTTCGGGGCTCCCCACCCCCAGGTGCAGTCCGTGCGCCGCATCCGCGACATGCAGTGGCACCAACGTGGAGCCTTCCACCCCTCCAACTAGAGCCCCCGAGCCCCCGCCCTCCTCCCCAGGGGCCAGGTCTGCTGCCCACGACCCCCCAGACCCCCCAGCGAGTGAATAAAGTGTGCCTTGCAACTGTGTGCAGGTCCTTCATCCACAGCGGGCCTGGGCGGTGTGCGCGTGGGTGTGTGCGTGTGCGTGCGCATGTGTGCATGTATGTACGTGTGCGTGTGCGTGCATGTGTGTGTGTGTGCGTGTGCATGTGTGTGTCAGAGAGAGAATCGGCAAGTGCTTGGGCGGGGTAGCAGCAGCCCCTCCCGGAAACTTCCAGCTCTGCAGCTACTTAGCTCTGTGACCTCAAACCCACTGTCCGACCTCTCTGAGCCTCTGTCTCTTCACCTGATTTACAACTCCGTTGCCTCCTAAGCGGCCACCTGGGCTCTCTCTCCTGTGGAGGCTGAGCGCTGTCACTCTCAGGAGCACTTGAGGGATGCCCCATCCCTTAAAAACCTACCATGGCTGCCTTCTCCCATGACATCCTTATCCCTGCGGTCCTGGGTGGGGAGTTGTTTTGCATCTGCTCTGCTGTAGCAGAGCCCAGAGCCCTGCAAGGCCACCCCGTCCTGGGGACATGTGACAGCTGCATGTTTGTGCCTTCCTGGGTCTGATGGTTCAGCGTCACCTGCCGGTGGCCAGGCACAGAGTGACCGAGCAGCATCATGGGAATGAGACGTGGGCTGCGTCCGACAGGCCTGGCCTGAGGCTGTTCTGCAGGGCCCCGGGGTCAGGGGGCTCCTCAGAGTCCTGCTGTTTCCAGGGGGAAACCGGCACAGCACAGCCCTCCTGGCAAGGTCCCCCAGGAGCGGAGGGAGGCCCAGGGCTCTGGCAGACTCCCCCTGTGTTGGTTATAAATAGTGCAGAGCTCTGTCCCCACAGGGGAGCTCTCCCTGGGGCCCTCTGATGTCTTTTGATGTCGTTTTAAATTTTAATGTAGCCAAGCACCACGTGCTCTGTCCACGCTCATGCATCCACAGTTCGTCTGAGAAGTCCTTTCTCACCCCAGGTCACGAACATATTCTCCAATTTTTTTTCCCTAAATGTTTTAAAGTTTTGCTCTTCACATTTAGGGTCTTGACCCTGCTGGAGGTGGTTTTGTGGACAGTCTGCTGAGGGATTCAACTGCTTTTTTTCACTTTGGACAACTGTTGTCCTACAATAATATGTGAAGAGTCTTAAGTTCCCCCGACAATACAGCGTCACCTCTACCAATTATTAAATTTTCATGTAGGCAGGGGGCTTATTTGGGGGCTGTCTTTTCTGTTCCTTCCACCTATATGTATCTCTGTATTCTTACCATATTTTTAAAATGACTTTATTTATTTTTATCTGGTGCTGAGGATTGAATCCAGTGCCTCACACGTGTGAGGCAAGCTCTCTAGCACTGAGCCCCAGCCCCAGCCCCAGCTCACCATGTTGTTTTGATGATTAGCTATTTCTAAATAAGAAGTCTTGGGGTTCCCTAAATCATCAGTTTTCTTCAAGGTGTTTGGACACTCTTGCCCCTTTAAATTTCCATTTAGAAGAATCCCCTTGAGTTTGGGGAAAAAAAATAGAAAACCTTGTTGAATGATTTAAAGTAGTTAAAATGGTGATCATGAAGGTGGTGTGTTAATCTATTTTCTCTTCCTGTAACAAAATACCTGAGGCTAGGTACTTTATAAAGGAAAGAGGTTTATTGAGATCATAAATAAACCGAAAGTCCAGTCCAAGATCGAGTGGCCCCATCTGTTCACAGGGATCCTTTTGGTTGTTGTATCACAACATGAGGGAGGATTGGGGAGGGAGCTGGCTCCAGGTAGAAGGGCCAAACTTGTGGGTGGCTAAGTCCACCCTCGCAAGAATCACCCGACTCTGCGTTCATCTCTTCCACAGGTGATGCCCCCAATGACCTAATTACTTTCTGCTAATCCCCGCATGCTAAAGATTCCATCAGGTCAAACCTTCATAGAATCACGGTGATATATACTATGAGTTGAATTATGTGCTCCTCAAATTCATGTCACATCCTAACCCTAGTACCTGAGAATGTGTGCTCTTACCTGGACATTGGGTGGTTGCAGGTGTAATTAGCCTAAATAACTTGAGATCATGCTAGGAGAAGGGTGGACCCCTGACCCAAGATAAGCCGTGTCCTTACCCAAAGCAGAAATCTGTAGCTGCACACACAAGGAGAAGCACGTGAAAATGACAATAGGGAGATGCCTCTACAGGCTTCCAGGTGTCAAAAAGTGCCACAGGCCACCAGGACCTGGGAGGGAGGCATGGAACAGCTTCCCCTCCCAACCCCGGGGAAGAACTAACCCCACCCACGTCTTCCCCCTGGGCTTCTTGGGTTGTGAGGCAATACCTTTGTAATTTATAAGCCTCTGGCTTCGAGAATCTTTGTTATAGCAGCTCCAGCAAACTCATACGCTGGTGTGAGAAGAAAGAACAAGAGAAGGCAGGGTGGACCAGTCAAGGTAGACCTCTCACAGATGCAGGGTGTTTGCAAGGAGAGTTGGAATTTCCCAGGTGAATCTTGAAGATCGACAATGTCAAAAAAGGGAACAGAGTATGCAAAGGTGAATAGGCAGGAAAACGTGCTGTGTCCCAGGGCTCCGTGGTGGCAGGTTCTCTAGGGTGGAGAGGATGGGCCGAGCGCTGGGCTCCCTCAAGGAGCTATTCCCCCTGAGACCACCAGGTGTCAGCCTTGCACCATCCATTTGTTCTTGTGGTGGACACGGCTGTGGGGAGGCTGGTAGGGAGGATGCTGAGCTGGCAGAACCAGGCAGCCAGGCTGCGTGAGGACCTGGAGGGATGCCTTATGAAACTGGGGGTCCAGGAGGCGCCCCCAGGCCAGGCCAGCTCAGGGGATCGGCAGGTGAAATGGGGAGGGCAATTCGGGGCCTGGTGGGGGGAGGGGGAATGACGGCTCCTGACAAGCTGTTGAGCTCCCAGTGTCCAGGTCTGATGCCTGCTGGAAGCTGGGGGGCTTCAAACACAAACTAAGACTTCAGCCAAGACTAAGTGATCGCCACGACTGAGGCTGGAGCTTGGGGCACAGAGGGGGTGGTGTAGGCTGGCACAAGGGCTTTGCGTCAAGAGTTTGAGAAATCCTGGTGATGCTGAGAAGAGGCAGGGGTCTGGGGACCCAGCTCTTCCCATGCTGGATGTCTCCTGGAGAATTCTGCCATGGCTATACCAGAAGAGAGGTTCAGGAGGCCCCGGGCATCAGGGTCTGGAATTGACCTTGCATGTCCATCAGAGGGGGGACAAGTCCTCAACCTGAATGTAATAACGTGACCACGCCCTCACCACCAAAATGGCTGGATGTGGTGGTGCACACCTGTCATCCCAGCAACTCTGGAGGCTGAGGCAGGAGGATCGAAAGTTTGAGGCCAGCCTCATCAAGTTAGCAAGACACGGTCTCAAAAAATAAAAAGGGCTGGGGCTGGGGTTATGTGTATAAGGCCTGGGTTTGGTCCCCAGCACCACAGCGTGTGTGTGTGTGCGCACACACACACACACACACACACACTAATAGTAAAGGAGTAGTTGTTTTATTTCACATTTCTAATCCCTCATGGACCAAAAATGAGATTAAAAATTATTATTAAAATGAAGTCAAAGGACCATACCCAGTTTTTTTTTTTTTTTAAATCCAGTAGACATTTTCACATTGTGAGGACTTCCTCTCGGTTCCTGCATCTATCTCATGGGATGTTGATGACCTGGCCCTGGGCCCCACCTTGAGGAGTCAGCCAACTTCTTACTGCAGGGGAGTGAGTATTTGACCCTGGAGGGGCCATCGGGTCACGGGGGCTACTGGGAAGTGAAAGTGGGGAGTCAGTGTGTGAATGAGTGGGTGAGGCTGGGTTTGTAGGAAGTTTTATGAACCCTGACATTTGAATTTCATTTTCGCTGATCACAAATAATTATTCTCCTCCCCCCTCCCCCCACTAACACCGTAAGGCCCACTCCCGTGTGCGCGGTCAGAGCAAGCGTCCGGCTGGATCGGGCCTCAGCCCATCATCCCTACAGATGATCCGCTGATGCTCTAGGTGAACCTGTCGCTTTCTTTTCCCGGAAACATTTGTCAAAGCTGCTGCCGTAGCTTCTTCTTCACACAAAAGGATAATTATGTGGATAGATGAGCTGTCTGTACAATTTTAAAAAGCATATATGTAGGGAAAATATGCCAAGTTATTAACAATGGTTGAATTTGTATTGTGAGGACTTTGGACAACTTTTCTGTTTTTTTTTTTTTTTTGCATTTCCAGGAAATCAGGGGTTTGGGGGGGAGGGGAGGTGGTTGTTGTTGATTGTTTGCTATCACAAATCCTGGGAGTGTGCCAGAGGGGCAGTCCTCGGAGAGAATTCCCCACCCACCGAGGAGTCCTCTGGGAGGTGGTCGTGGTCATGAGCAGCTGGCCCTGCTCAGGTCACTTCCTTGGGCCATCTCCTGCCCCAGGACTGTATTCAAGGGCCCCAGGCAGACAAACCCATTCTATTGTGTGAGTCTAAGGACTTGATAAAAAATGCTTCTCTTGCTTTTGGGTTCTATCCGTGGCCGAAAAAAAAATAAAGCATCAGATCAAGAGAGCAGGGGCGGCCCAGTGAGCTGTGGGCTCAGGAGGGGCTTAAAAAAGTGGGAGGATTAAGGAGCATAGTGTGGAGGTTCCTTAAACATCTACACTAGAAATACTGAACAGTCCGGAAATTGCACTACTGTATGCAGCCCAGAGAAAATGAGATGGGCATATGAAGAGACACCAGCACTCCTGTATTTATTGCAGTACTATCCACAAGAGTCAGGAAATGGAATCACCCTAAATGTCCATCAGTGAACAAAGCAAATGTGTTGCATGTACCCAAATGGAATACTATGCAGCCATTCAAAGGATGGAATCCTGACATTTGCAGCAGCTTGGATGGACCAGAAGGACAGAATGTTAAGTGAAATAAATCAGGCACCGAAAGACAGATGTTACATGATCTCACTCATCCGTGGAATG